AATATTTTTTATTATTATGTAATTTCTTTCCGAATTTTATTAGGGTTTCACTATATAAACGTTGTAAGCCCTTTGAGGCAGCTCAGTTTTGAATGAAATAAAGTTTTTCTTGAATTTCTCTTGATTGAAATTCTTTTTATGAGATTTTTATCTTTCCTATAAGCTTTCCCTACATCAGATACGCACCATTGCCCCAATGGCCGAAACCAAGGTGGAATCGTTGAAAGGGCAAACGTGCTCCAGTTCGAAGGAGCCTATATTTTATTGAAAATGAATCTTACAAAAGTAAATCAAGTGAAGCAAGGAGCTCGCCTCCTCAAACAGATTGGACCTTAAGGAAAACTAGAAGTGTTTTCGACATGTTAGGGACTCAATGATCACTTATACCCCAGAATGAACAACCTAACCTCACCCAAAAGGAGCTCACAAAAGAGAAGACAATGAACCATAAATAAATCAACTGAAGAAGTGCATAACTGACCTAGAGACTAAAGACAAAGGGGTAATGGAAGAATATTTCGCAGAACGTCACTCCCTTTTTACAAAAAGGACATTTTTGTTGAACCCCTGCAGACAACCTAAAAATGCCCCAGCTCGTTGGATATGAAGGAGAGGAAGATCCTTTGGCCACCTAGATAAGTACATGTTATGGATGGAGCTAAGCCAGTGACGCTATCATGTGTAGAGCTTTCCCTACGCACTAGGAGACAAATCTAAAAGTTAGTTTAGAAGGTTACACCATAGGTCTATCAAAAGCTGGACGGACCTAGCCTTTACATTTCTAGCTCAGTTCATAGGTTCCAAGGCTAAAACTATTCCTAAAAAATGCTTCGTAAGCATAAAGCAAGTGCAAAGTGAATATCTGAAAAGCTAACTCAATATATTCAATAAACAAACTATGGAGGTAGAAAATTTTTCTAATAATGTAGCCCTTATGGCGGTACTTTCCAGACTAAGACCCAAAACAAGGTTTTAGTGGCCGTACACGAAGATGGGCACAAGAACTGTCATGAATTCTTGAACCAAGCTAAGAGACACATAAGCGTAGACAAAGTAGCCTCAAACCATGAGGAAGGAAAAATAGAACCACATGACTCAGCTCAAACCAAGGATAAAAAAGTAGATAAAAGGCCTATGCTAGAAAGGAAGAAAGACATAAATGAGATAATATGACCTCGCTCATACCCAAAAAATTCCAGGACTACCATCCCCTAAATACTATACTAGAATGAGTCTTATGGAAATAGGAGATAAAGAGGTCTTTTGTGGACCTCTTTCTTTGAAAAAAAAGTTCAACGGGTGCTAACGAGGACAAGTATTGCAAATATCACAGATCAACATGTGATAATATAGATGAATATAGAGATTTGAAAGAGCAAGTAGAGACCTTAATTATGCGATGTCAACTACGATAATTCGTGGCAAAGCCTGGAAAACAACCTAAACATGTCCTACACAGCTACCTTAGTGGTGTCAAACGAGCCGAGCGGCTCGTCGGCTAGCCCGCTCGGCTGGTACTATTCACGCCTACTAATCGCTCGGGCTCGTCAAAAAACGAGCTCGAGCACGAGCCGAGCGGGCTGGTGGGCTAGACGAGCCGAGCCCGCTCGGCTCGTTACTATTCACAAGCGGCTAGGTGAGCGGCTCGCCGAACCGCTCGTGAGATGAGCCCACGAGCCAGGCTCGTGGGCTCGTCTAACACGAGCCAGCAGGCTCGTCTAACACGAGCCCATAAAAAAATAAAAAAAAATAAAAAAATAAAAACTTAAATTT